GCCCCCACGGCTGAAAGGGCGAGCATGTTTGGTGGTATGCGGATTCGAACCCGCGACTCTCAGATTGTGAGTCGAGCGCCTTATCCACCTGGCCATGCCGGGCACATTGTTTATTAAAGCTTATATGTGACTGAGTTAAAATAAAAATTACAAGATTCCCGTATTATCATTAATAAATTATGACTGTCTTGAAATTTCTAAATTACAAACTTCGAGTTTACGGATCATGGTTGCAGGAATTCACTTACAGTTACTAGATTCACATGTTATATTTAAATTGTTACTGGATTTAAATATGAACTTACAAGACTCCACTATTATGGTTACGTTTTATATTAGTTCAAGTGTCAATTTATACGACTCTCTCATTATCCTTAAAGAGGCAATGAATTTAAGTACAAAGTTTTAATACTTTTCTGTGATGTAAAAGGTGTGAAGTATGTAGAGGACTCTTATTTTGTGGTAAAAGTACAAACTTAAAATAATCTATATTTTACTTACTTTCTGACTGATTAAGTTACAAAGTTATAAAACTCAGCTATATGATCTCAGTTTGCTTGTAATAAGATAGCTAAGATACAATATTAACACGAGATACTGAAAACATGCACTGCTTAATTAAAGGAAAAGACTCATCTAGCATTTAGCGTGACTAAATTAAATTTAAAAAGATGTAAGGGTGTGGGACTGGACTAGATTGAAGTAAAATATTCAAGGCTTAATTATTTGACAAAGTACAAAGTTACAATATTCAATTGCAATGCTTAATGAAGGTAGAAATTTAGTTACAAAGTTATAAAACTCGCCTGTTATGCTTAAGGTGAGCTCGAACTAAATGTCCAGCTGCTAGAGCTGACAAGAGAGAGAGTTCCCCTGCAAGGACTGTTCCACATACAATTCTTGCTAATGTGTCAGCGTTTTGACCAGGATCTAGTGTTGATGACCCACGCACTCCAAGTAGCTTAATAGTGTAAATAGCAATAAATAAATAAGGATTGTAAAATATTTGTTACAAAATATTTAAAAAACGATATATATATAAAACAAAAAATATATGGCCTAATTTGTCATACAAGATCCAATGGACGATGAATTATTTGATAAGTATAAAGTTTTGAAATAGATGTAGAAAACAAAGTGAAAATTGTTTGAGCGGTCAGGGAAAATTAAACATTTAAAACACCATGTTTTCACATATTCAAAAATAGTTTTGCTTATTGCATATTTGTATAAAAACAGAAAGTAGAACAGAAATAAATGGATAAATCTATCTAACTTTTTCAATGTATTTAAGGAATCTAATATTTCAAAGGTCAATCGAAGACGAAATATAAAAGGAATTAATTTTAATTTAAAATCTTCGCTAGGATTTTTACAATAAGTGCTCTTATTTATAGTTTTCTAAAAAGAACTGCTTACACAATGTAGTCATAGGTTTTTTACAGTATTAGATATTTACAGTGTAGGAAAACATTAGATTGTTGTAATAATGTTACATTGAGCTACACATAACAAGGTAACACCATTACTATCTTTAATGTTAAAAGTAGAAAACACATAATCTATCTTCAATAAGATTTTTTGATTCAAAGGACTGATTGCACGTTTTAAAACAAATTTAAAAACTTATCATGAAAATGTTGTAAAACTGATTAAACATTTCAAATAACAAAGTTTGACATGTATCATGAAAATGTTGTAAAAGAGCAAGATATTATTGTTAAGTTGAACTATGATGTCAAAAGTAATCGTTTATAAATTTAACTTCTACGTTTGAAATGAAATCAAGTCCTACTTGATAAACCATAAATGTATTTAATTCAAGTGTTTAATAACTCACGTCTAAACAAGCAGCCTGTGGAGGAAGCATCGTTCCCCCACCCACTGTTCCTGTTTCTATTGAAGGCATAGTGCAAGTTATGTACAGATTCTCTCCATTTAGTCCAAATGGTTCCGTAAGGGTCATACAGGATGAACTGTCTACATTTTGAGCTGCGTCCTGGATAATAGATCATTACAATTGCATATTTACATTTCATTTTCTCATGGTTGATAACCAATACGATAATCTAAGTCTAAATATTAATTAGTTAATATATTTTTATTTACTAGATACTGATTACTAACTATCGTTTATCCTAAGTTTCGGTTGCTAATTTACTGCCGTCTTCAGGGAAATCATGAGAAAGACTGTGTTTCTGGTGGTAGAAGCTGGGATTCGATATTGGGTTTATAAGTTAAAAGGCTGTTGGGCTACCTACTCGCGTGGTGTCTCCCCCCGTTACGACTTATTAAATCAATTAACTTATTTGAAGGCTTTCAGGGTTCGCTATCCAGGTGCTGCTAACTTCTGTGCTAAAATAACTGTGCGCTTATAAGTTAGGTGGATGTAAAATGTTCCTTTTATCTTTCTTCTCGTGGTTTATATCCCATTATCATACCAACCCCCTAAAAAAGTAACTAGTTAATATTTAGATAAATATATTGCTATTTAATCACCATAACGTTATTGTATGCATTTGCCTTTTATGTTTGTATTCCAATAAAACAAATATGTAAAAATGTTCTTGTGAGCTACAAGAAAAACTAAACTAAAATGCCCCAATAGTGGCTCAGTGGTAAGCTCGAATGTTTCTGACAGTAAAATTTGGGTTCCACCCCTGTGACGGGCATAATGCTGGGAGCCCATCATGCAGGTTTGCCTCAAACAAGGCCCTACAATGGCTCAGTGGAAAGTCTGAAGGCTCACCCCGCTAAAATCCGGGTTTCGATACTCATGGTGGGCACTGCACAGATAGCCCATGGTATAGCTTTATGCTTAATAATAGAAAAAAAAACAAAACTTTAAACAAAACACCACTGTTTGTACAGTATATTTAATCTCTGCAATGTGGCTTTGGTCTAATGCAAATACTCTCCTTTACTATAATTATATTGTTACGTCTCCGTTTGTTAATTAACTTTCCGTAACTTCGTTCCGACGAAACTTTAGCGACACAAGTCCTTACTTAATAAACCAGTTATACCGGGGAAGTTACGGGAAGTTGTGTTGCGTCAATCCCATGATAGTTTAACAGGAG